CAGCCAGGGAGCAGAGATCAGCAGAGCTGCATGCACTGAGTGTGTGTGTGAGGAAGTCCGTGGATTGGTCAATTTGGACCAATCAGCGGGGGCTCCACGGATAACGGCTCCACGGATTGGTCCATTTGGTTCCGGGTAACGCATGACATCATGAGTTACCCGGAAGAATCAATGGACAGTGACGTATCTCCAACAAGAAGTTTTGGGGAGGTAATTTCTGTGTTAGAGTTTTACTCGCTACAGGGTGTACTTTGAGGGTTTTGACTCTGCAGACCGTTTACATGCAGAAAAACCTTCATAACACACAAGGGGACGGGTAATAACCGGAAAAGCATGACATGGGACCTTTAACCAAATCTCTCTCAGAGGGGTGTGGGGAGGGGCTCCTTATTTTCATCTAAAGTAACAGACAGAGAATCAGCCCTTTGGAAACAGGGCTGAAACAGAGGGGATTATGGGACGCTGCAATGATCTGTTTGGTGTTTCAGCCAATCAGAGACAGGCTCTGTATATATCTGAGACCTGTGATATATTGATGAAAAACAGTATAATAGGGGACCTTTAAGGCAATGTATCAGCGTCTCACGGCTCCTTCGGTTAAACAACAATTTTCAAAAATGCAGTCTAGTCCCCAACACCTGGAAATATTCTCTTATATGTACGATCAGTGGAGCTCCCCTTTAAAGCCTCCCTGTAATAAAATCTTGTTTGACCATTTTGCACCAAAACGGAGACTCCGCCCTTTTAAGGTTTCATCTTCTGGATAGTATTTGAATTGTTTGTACCGCAGGACATTTTATTTGACAAAGGCTCAATTGACTGAAAATACAAGACTCTGATGTATGACTATACTGCATGTTGAATGTCCATGTTCTCAAAGCTTTTATAGTACTAAAGTATCTCACGATACATTGTACTTTAATTGCACTATTCACAGTACTGGTTGAGGTTCTCCCTGCCATCACTCATGTGTTCAGCATGTGTGTTGTTTTGGAGTAGAAACGGCTGGATCATGTGTTGGAGGAGGTTTAGACTGTCATCTCTCCCTGCTGAGATTTAGGACAGATCAGGACAGAGATTCTTCATCGATGATCAGTGTTCCTGTCCTCATGTGACTGAAGTTAGTTGTAGTACTCTCAGCATATGAAGAAAACATTTGTGGAAACTCTGGTGAAAGATTTACTGAGAACGCATGTGATGAACATAATCAACCTTATAAACCAAACTCTTGCATTGTCATCTCTCTAAATTGGTAGAGGTGGAAGTGGTGGGGGCTCATTAGTGAAGGAATGCAGGCTGAGGGATGGGGGAAGATGTGAAGGGGGGTTCTGATATAGGGCAGGACTCCTGTGTGCAGAGCCGGGCCAATCCTGACCCATGTCAAGCGAAAAGGCACCAGGTTGACAAATCCTACAGCCACATGAAAATAGAGTGGATTAGCAGATTAAATGTCTTCAGCAGAGGCTATGCTGCCCTGCTCTAACACAGACTGCTGCATAGAAACTGCTTCAGTTGCTTTAAGTAGAAGAAGTCAGAGAAATTCCATTCAAGTAAAGAAGTTACTAAATAATTGCCATGAAGGCTTTAACTGCAAGAGGAAGATTTTTCAGCGTCATATCATGAACAATCTAAATCACTCTGCCAGTCAGAGCAGCTTCCGCCTCCTCCTGTCAAATCATATGTGCTGATATGCCTAACGGACCATACAACATCCCATGCCGAGCTGACCTACCAGCATGAGACCAGGCAACACAATTAAGAGTGCTAATAATTAAGAGTACAGAGTATTTAACGCATGCTTTGAGCTTTGAGTCTTTGGCTTTGACCTCTCAAGTGCAGTCAAGTTTCAGGTCAAAAATAACACAGCTTAAACATGAACTCATGTCTGCACAATGTGAGTGAAAGAGCTGCAGAGAACTCTATTAGATCAACCATTGCAGCCTTTAACAGCTAACACAGCCTGACAGTGATGAAGTGAACCCCCAATTGTGCTAAAAACACAAGATGTGATACACAATGGCTGGTGTTAGCATCAGAGTCAATGTTTCAGTTGCACTGGCCTGTTGTATCTGCAGGCTTGTTAATATAAACACGGATATCCTCAGTGCTTTGCCAGCTGGGCTGATCACCGGGACTTCTGCAGGTCTCCTGTAGCTTGATATTCAGCTGCATGTTCAACAAATAATAATGCTCTGATCCCTGTAATGACCTGTGGCAAATTCAACTGTTTTCCCACAAATGCACCCAAAGGCACCATGAATAGCAATTTAAATCAGTCTTAAGCCAAGCTTGTGATTTTAAAGGTTGGACTTTCTCTTTAAAATCCACATCATCCCCTGTCTGAGGCACTTAAGACCAAATCCAGAGTCCACATTCCAGTCCAAAGAGTCCGTCTGATTTTTAATCTAATAAGCAAAGCTAATGATAAACTTACTGTGCCACTGTGAAGATAAACTTAGTACAAAGGGGGGATTCTATGAAGCCTGCAGTCTGGAGATGAAGCATGAGGTCGGCAGACTAGAAACCACCACTCTAACATTAGCATGGGGGTGTTAATTAGCTGAACACAAAGTGTATCAAGCACTCGTTGCTTTTGTGGGTACACATGCACATTCCTGATGGGCTGTTTGAGCGCTGGACACTGAACTCTTCAGTCCTTACATCGCCTAAGATGCTATATGGCATTACTGTTATATTCTGCTTTACTCATATATTACCAAATGTGAAAGTTCCTCTTCAGCCACAGCGACATTTAAGAACTCTGGGAAACATTTATACATGATTTTGACACACTTCTACTTATTTCCCATCAATCAAATGATCAGCATGTGTTGAGGTTGAACATCTTCTGAAAGCAAACAAACACACAAATCAAGCTGTCAATATGGTGCCTTAATAAAACCCACATGCTATAAAAATCCATTCACAGGCACAAAGAGACACTTTCCTAATTAGTAATGTGTGTCTGGTGACCTCAACAATGAATGGAATGATAGATGTTCCCAATGTGTTTTCCCCCTGAGATTTGCTACAGCAGATGTTTTTACGAGATGTTAAAAAGCTGCAGAGTTTACTCACTGAAAGATACTGTACTCCGCTAATTGCGCAGATAAAAACATTCATTATTAAACATTTTCGGCCAAAAGGTCTGTGTTCAGTCTTTGTAGCTGCTGGTGGTATGGTTTGTATTCATCATACTAATACAAACACACAAGTCCTCTCGCAGCACGAAAGCCAATAATGTTATATCCTCGGAAAATATTTCTTTAAGATTAGGGAAGGCTTGTAGTTAAGGTAAACAAAAGTCTATGATGGGACGCAAGCTCCCCCAACACTCCTCACACCCTTACTCACCGCGGTGCTGCATATAGATTACACAACTTCCTGCATTGACACAGCATGTTGGAATGTTCTGAGTATTGAAGAGACCCATTTGCATGAGTTTATAGGTGTTCACTGTATGTGCACAACATGTATTTGAGTTTTTTTTCACTTATCTCTGTGTCCTCGGTTTATGCATCCATGTGTGTGAGAAAACAAAAGGACACACAACCATAAAAGGTTATGGTCCCCAGGGAGAGATTTCCTGATCACATGACCCCAACTACGTGAGGGTATAGGGGCCGGAGAAAAAAGAAGGTCAATGATTTGTTAACATGAGCCTGTGATATAAAGAAGGCTTTTTTGTTATGGCTTGTGATAACATTATTGGGGACATTTGATGGGCATGTACATGCACTTATACTTTTCTATGGGTTGCACTGTTCAAAAAGTGCAGCTTTAAAAGAAAAATATTATTATACAGCACACTTGTGGTTTTGGCATCCTATAATCGATGAAATGGTGGGTCTTTTAATTATTTAATTTAAAGTTAATGGAACCGTCCAAGTCATCCCCACAATCTATGGACAGCCTAAAATCTAACAATCAGTTTCACCGTTATGTGCCAAAGCCATGCAGGGGACATCAGAGCTGCGCGGGGGGGGCACCCGGGACCTGCGGTTCACACTGATACCAGGTCAAGAGAGACTCATTCCTCAGTGTGACTGAGGTATGAGTCTATCTTATTTCCAACAGCTTTCAGCTCTGTTTGAACCACTAACAGAAACTCCACTCTCTGCAGAACGATAATGTTTACTCTTCATCAAGCCCCATGTGACATCTGCAACACTAGAACCCCCAGGGGTCGCTGTATACCTAAAACCGCCAACGGGTAAAATGTACCCGCCATTAGAATGCAATGATTTTCAAGGTACAATGTTCTTTTATGTATCATACTAGAACACAGGGTTAACAGTGAGTTTTGATCGCACAGTGATGAAACTTATACCAATAGAATCTGTGGACTCTCAGCTTTCATATGATATTAGTTTGTGCAGATAGCATGAAGTATAAAAGATCGCTACCGTGAATTATATCTATCTATTTCTCTATCTATCTGTATCTCTCTCTAGATATCTCTCTCACTATCTAACTATCTATCTATCTCTCTCTCTATCACTATCTCTCTCTCTATCTATCAATCTATATATCTCTCTAGATATCTCTCTATCTATCTATAACTATCTAACTATCTCTCTATATATCTATCTATCACTATCTCTCTCTCTATCTATCAATCTATAAGGAACCGCAGTAAACAACATGCGTTGCTATAGCAACCCGTCATGTTTATGTTTTCGAGCAAGATCAATAGCGTGAAAATCACTGCATTTTCTCTAAGGTAAATATTACCCGGTGGCGCTGATAGGTATAAATCACAATTTGTTGGCAATTTCTTCAATCTGACTTCATATTGACACTTTTTAACAACAGAGGGTGCTACATAACACACTTTCAGGAAAAGTCACGGACTGGGAGACTTTAATATTTTGTTGAAAAATGGTTACATACAATCAAAAAACAGCTGCAGGTCAAATGTACCTGTTGGCGGTTCTAGTGTTAAAGCATTGCCCTGTTGTTGAAATGTTCCCTAATGATAACGTACCTGTGTTTCAGGTGGAGGATTTGCAGCCTTCGGCCAGGCCAAGCCCGTTGGCACTCCATACGGACAAACAATGTCCGGACCTATGATCTCCAGCAACCCCTTCCTGGTTAGTCAAATATCTTTATTTCTTGTAGAAACAATTTAGTTATAATACTCCTACAGTAGAATGAAGGGCTTCTGTCACATTAGCATTGGCTGTTGTTGGTAGAGATTAGGCTGTTACCTTATTACCATAGATTTGAGTTATATTAAAAAGACCAATTGATTGCAAAAAACTAGAGCTGTGAAATGAACTCTGCAAATCAATCTCTTAGTTAATGGTGTAAATAATATGTAAAGAGTGCACAGAGGTCACTGCAGTAATATTGCCGACACATCCCTTATATGCCTATCAGGGTTTCCGCTAGGATCTTTTCTTGCCGGTCAAATGTCCGGAAAGAATCTATTTTACCTGACAATTTTGAAACTTACCGATCATGTTTCATAATAACAATAATTTGTGTAGCAGAGTTTCCGTTAGCAGGTAATTACCGGACTATGACTTGGATATGCTGATGTTTAAAACTCAGTTAAGGGATTTTTCTATTGCTTCAGTTTATTATCGTAACAGATCGAAAAGTTCAGATTCATTTTTCAATAGATGATGCGCTTCCACAAACAACATAATTATTAAATTCAAATGAACTACTTATAGTACTTATCTCTCTCCCTCCCTCTCTCTCCTGACAGCTGGTCAGTTGGTCAGTTTCTCATGCAGCTCTCTGTCAGTGGGCGGGGCTTCAGTTGATCATGATCAGACTCAGCAGCTGATCTGATCTCTCTCTCGCGTCCGGTTATACTTCACTCGCGTGTATGTCCATATCGATCAGATCCAGCTCTCCTGATCGGCCTTTATAGAGAGCACCGATCAAACTATTAAGAGTGAATATCGGCCGATTATTACCGGAAATTTTGACCGGCAGGTTTTCAGAATTTACCGGTTTTTAATACATTTTACCAGCTAAAAAACGGTAATTACTGACTAATGGAAACCCTGGTGCCTATGCAAGTAAATAGTATGCTATATCGTTTAATTTAAACCAATAAATGCTTTACTCAAGTTCCACTATAAAGTCATTTTTAAAAACCTATAGGAAGCACTTTTCCAAGCAAATATTGTTTTTAATTGTCTGACGGTCAGCATATCTAATGCTTTCAATTTACATCAATTAAAAGCCCTAGAAGAAGCACTACTGGTTGGAATATATACTCTTTGATTGTGGATTTATGTTTACTCTCAAAACTAGAAGTTATTAGTTACTCCTTCTGATTGTGTGTTTGTGTGTCCTTTGACCTTTCAGGGTGCGGCTCCGTCTGCTCAGTATCCAGCAGGAGGCTCTTCAACGAACCCCTTCTTATAGCGACCCCTCCGCTCCGCTCCACTACAGGGTCAACAACTGGCGCGCTTGCACCTATTGCACCGTTTGTTTCACAAGTAGCTTTAAACACAATGTTTGTAAGGATTTGTATTTTCTATCGCAGTTTGTCACAAGGGATATGACAGAGCATCATGCTGACACTGTCCATGGCTACAAAACAAAGTGATGGTGTGTGTGCAGAGGGAGAGGACGGTCCCCCCCTTCTCTATTTAACCTGTGAACTGGCCTGGCCTCGACTGAAACACAATGTATAATCAAACTGGCTGAAAACTAAGTTATTGTAACAGTATATCCCATTCGTTATGCTGCAACTTTGTACATAATTCATTTTTCTTTTAGCGCTTTTGTGCATATCAGTATTTGTATCTAACACACAAGATTTGTTCAGACAGATCTGTTGCTTCTTGGTAAGTTAATGGGTTCCGCCACTTACTGTATTTGTGAAGAACCGACTGTTTAATTGTGCGGGTTCCTTTTTAGGTAAACTGTTGGCTACGGTGGCCGAGAGGTGCCAACGTGCTTCAGCGGACCAACACATTTCCATTGGGGGAAACGCACTGCAACCTCAAAAACGAAATGTATAAACACAAATGTGCCAAAACACATGTTAAGAAGAAATATCTTTACCAACTTGTTGAAACATGCACAGGGTTTGCTAAAAAAAACGCTGCATAAACAAAATGCTGCAAGGAGCTCAAAACCCATCGGAAACCAGGGGACACTAATAAGTGACGCACACAGCCGGAGAGCTTGTTGACGTTCGTTCGGGGATTATAAAGTTGGCATACTGTCACTGTTGACAGTTTACTCTGTTTCATAATTGTTAGTGTTTTGTCAGTATATTCAAAATAAGTTAATAAGATTGACTTTATTGATCCCAATCCAGGAGATGGTTTTGTCACAGCAACATAATGTGAAAATAAAAAAAGAGGAGAAGCTAAACAAACATACACATAAAATCAAAATATCAAATAAAACTAAACTAAAAAGTCAAATAGACATATTGACAGTGAAA